ATATGGAGTCGATTTCTTGGTGTTATTTGAATATTTCGAGTTTGTCCAAACTATCATCAAAATATCAACTTTTCATGAATTGAGAGTACTGATGTACTTAATTTCAATTAAGGCTATGTTTTGGACCATATTGAGCACAATTTATTTTTTATCTCGAAAACAGATAGAGATAGGTATAGGACATTATCAAGAAAAAAGTATCAAAATACTATAGCGATTCCAAAATTGTATTAATATACTGGGTGTTCCGTTTGAAAAAATATAATTGCTAGAACTTTTTGATAGAAGTGGCAACGCCGCAATGCTGAAAATATTTTATATCGATAGAACAGGTAAGGAAATGTGAGAGGTGAAATATTCAGAAAAATAATGCTTTGCGTTTTCCAGAAACGTCTAACCTACCATCGACCGTGAGTCACGCTGTATACGAAGACGGTGTATTATTGGTATTATTATTCAATACGTGAATTCATTAACGTATTATTCAATACGTGAATGAATAAGTATGAAATTCAGATTTTGTGCCTTTTGTATCATGAATTATAAGAATATTTCTAGATAGTTTCACAATTTTTTTTGTTCAATCAATTATCTCATGAATATTGCAATTTGTAAAAGATTCACTAACGTATTGATCAATTTCATCTGAATCATCAAATCAAAATTAAATTGAATTGTACATTACTGCATTTTATTACTGCAGTTTATACCATAGCTCACTACATTGATTCGAGAGTCATTCCACAATAATTTAATTTTAATGTAGGGAAAAATCGAAGCTCAAGGAAATTTTGAGGATCTGTCAAAAAGTGAACTGGATTTCACAAAAATCTTAGGGGATCACAAAGAATCTGATAAACCAGACGCTGAAACTACTGGAACACCTAACCTTCTGTCTAGGACATCATCTATTCTTTCATTGGCAAAAGTAAGTCACGCAAAATTTATTACCTGCTTATATGGATACAACAAATAGTTGTTTTCGTAAATAAAAATTGCATATATGATATTATAATAATATAATTATATTGAATGAACATTTTTTCGTGGAACAATGAGAGTATTCATCAATGGGTTTCTTCATCTCCTACAGGTATAAAAAGGGCAGACATTTAAGTTCACTTCGATGAGTTACTGCATGAAATCAAAGTATTTATCAGCTATAATATCCCAAGGACATTGATAACTAACGAAATAATTTTATCACAGTTTTCGAAAGCACGTTATTTGGTAACATCCCGACGCCGAAGGCGGAGGGATGTTACCTAAAATAACGTGCTTGAGGAAGTTGTGATAAAATTATGAGTNATAAGATTGAAGTGTTGCATAAAATGAAAATATTTTATTAACTCACTGAAAATGTTTTGTAGCTTCTTCTTGGGGAACTACCGATGAAATCGGGAAATATATTTCTTGGAGGAGAAATATCGTATTCTTCCCAAGAACCTTGGCTCTTTTCATCAACTGTTCGAAATAACATTCTTTTCGGACAACCCTATATCAAAGAGTGGTATGGAGAAGTAGTGAAAGTCTGTTGTTTAGAGAAGGATTTCGATCAGTTTCCAGAAGGAGACAAATCAATTGTAGGAGAGAGAGGCGTATCTTTGAGTGGCGGACAGAGGGCGAGAATCAATTTCGCCAGAGCCATCTACAGGAAGGCCGATGTGTATTTGATGGATGATCCACTGTCAGCTGTCGATACTCAGGTTGGAAGATCCCTTTTCGATGAATGTATCATCAAACATTTAGGTGGAAAAACTAGGATTCTAGTAACGCACCAGTTGCAGTATTTGAAGAAAGTTGACCTGATCGTCGTTATCAATGAAGTAAGATTTGAGTATATGTTATTATATTCTCTAAAAGAATGAATTGAAGTAAATGAAAAATAATATTTGGGACATATCAAGATTTTCAACAGCTTGACACTTAATCATCTCAAAAATATTGAAGAATGGGGAATCTTAAAACGAATTTCATCTCAGGAACTAAAAATATTATTGCCAAACATGAATTTAATCACAAATTTCACACGTTCCTTCTATTTCCTGTAACTTTCATGGACTCTATTTCGGTCGATAGTAATTATCGCATTACTTATTCCAATAACTTCCCATTGTGAGATTTTCAGAAACTAATTTCTTAGTTACCAATAGAAAAAAAAGCATTCAATTCAATTTTTTCCATTGAGTGAATTTTCAGAATTCTGAAATATATTGATTTCCAAACACTCTTGAAGATTGCATTTCAAAACTTCCTTCTCCGAGTGTGACATGTGATAGACGTGATTGATTTCATACTGTTCTGTCAAAAGATTAAATATGGTTTGAAATGTGGAATCATTGTACACATTAAAAAACCCTTTTATGCTCATTTATTCTTCAGGAAACAATTCTCCCCATTTGACACAAAAATCAGTTTTGGACAAGAACCACAAGTCAACTTACATACTCCTGATCTATCCGAAACTCAAATTTCTTTTTCATTGTTTTTAATAAATTTGCTCAAATTATGATTTGTTCTGTAAGCTGCGTCCAAACCTTCGTTTCAGAATAAGAATGATATTATCAGTAGGTCCATCGAATTATGTCATTTTACTATGACACTTACTATAATTACTTGAGGTCAGACAGGCCTGGTAAATGGCTTCTCTTCATAGTGTTTTGCAAATAATGCAGTCGATAATACCTACTTCGTGTTGTGATAAATTATATAGTTCACCACTACTTTTTTCTCCTGGTAACGTGTCTTTTCAAAAATGAGTTCACACCTGTGAACCGACGTATCGTCATGAAACCTTCATGTCACAACCCTTTGCTAGCCCAATATTCTGAATTTTAGATACACTTTCAGAGCACACCGTTATTTTTCTATTTTTCATGACAAATCTTATAAAACTACCATCAAGTTTCAAAAAATCAAATGCTGTGGTGAAAGATGATATGGATATTTACGGCACAAAATCAATAAAAATTTGAAAAATCGATGAAAAATTTGAATATAGACCACTATTGAGCAAGAAAAAATATTCATTTCAACACAGAATAGATATAAAGAGAGAATCAACTATGAATAATCGGTTTCTGCAAACAAAATTGATGAATAATGAACAATATCTTAAGAAATTGTTATGATAAAAATATATTTTTCTGTGTACTTCATTTGAAAATGTTGTGCATATGCTTCTAATTTCAAATTATTACGAATACAATAAAAGTATAGTTCAATTGTCTCTTTCTCATCGACACATTTACTTAAGGTCTTCATGGTCTTCTTCAGCAAACATTATTTCCTCATTACGTTCTCTCTTTTCTGCCCTTTCAGCACCTGCGTACCCTATCGTTTATATCGATATAGCAAATAGATTTTCACTTTGATAATTTTTGAGTTTCCTTCTTTTCGTTAATACAATTTCAGAAATAATACAGGCTGATTCACGGTGGATGGCACATTAGACGTTTCTGGTGAACCAGACAACGGATCACTTTGAAAATTTAATGGAGGGCATATTCGGACATTCTCTAGCCAACTAAAATATTTNTCCAACCATTTCAGTTATTTATAATAACAAACAATTTCAGTTACAGTAGAAATTATACATCTGTACGGAATCAAACAAATGTTTTTGATCGAAAACAAATTGATATTTTTCATTTTTCACAGGATATTTGGGTGGAAAGGTATCTGGGAAACTAAGAAAATTCATAGCAGAAAAAACGGATTTCAGAGTCAAAGTAATGAGTGAAGTGATCAGTGGTATTCAAGTCATAAAAATGTATACTTGGGAGAAATCATTCAAAAATATTATCAAAGCAGCAAGGTTAACGGAAATTTCAGACATTACGAAAAGTTCATATGTTCGGGGGATGTTATCAGGATGTATGGTTTTCCTCGACAAATTGACACTATTCATGACCGTAATATGTTATGTATTGTTGGGTATGAAAAACATAATCTACTATTTTATCTGAAGTAAGATCACAAGACCTCAAAATTTTATTAATTAATTCTTACTTTATTGGTGGACTTTATGTGAGTTGTCTCAGTAGAGTTACAGTCATTGTCACAATCATAATATCGAATTAAACTTGTAAATTTCTGTAAAAGGATTTATGCTTTCAATATTCAGTCACAATTATATTTGAATATTTGATTGCATTGCTTGAATTTATTCAGAACAATAATAGTGATTGAAGTTGTTTGAATGATGCATAACTAGGCCCTGGAACTCAGGTATGATCAAAAAATTATGATATCTAGTTTTTTATTTTCATGACTGTCAGTTATATCGCTGTAGAAAAGAAGTGTTTTATCGCTGTGAAACTGTGTTGATAGCCATTTATCAATTTGAAGAAAATCATCAACATAATTTTGGGGTCAGTGTTTCGAAATGAAAAAAAATAATAACAACAATGCAGAAATATTTCTATATTCCAAATAACAATTCTAGATATTTCTCTTTCATTTCTATATTATAATATATGAATTCTAGGGAACGTCATCACAGCGGATAGAGTTTTTTCCATGGCTCAACTTTTCAGTATTCTCCAAACGGCAATGGCCATTCACTATCCTATAGCTATGAGTATGGGATCTGAAACTAAAATTTCAATTAGCAGAGTTCAAGCATTCATGTTACTCGGAGAGAGGGAAACGTCTGATATAGAAATGATAAAAGAGAAGAAAATAGAACTAAGAAACGTATCGGCATCTTGGACATCTTCCGTGCCAACTTTGAAAAACATATCTCTTCAAATTAAACCAGGAACCTTATGTGCTATCATCGGGCCAGTTGGGTCTGGAAAAAGTTCGTTATTGCAAGTGGGTATTTATTTCATTTTTCTGAATTATTCGATACCTAATACGACTTAAATTGCATAATGATTTTAATTTGTGCGCCACTCAAATTTATGCGCATGAATTCGCAGTAAGTTTGAAGGTGATTGACAATGTTTCGTGATGAGTTTCACTAGTTCGGACTTCCATTGTCTACTATATAAAATGATTTGAAATCCCTGAAACAAGTAAAAAAGAATAATTAAAAAA